CAGCAGTTCCAAGAATGGACTGCTTTTCCAGAGGACCCAGATTCAGTTTCCAGAATAAACAAGGCAGCTCACAACCATCAGTAACTCCTGTTCCAGGGGATGCTACATCCTCTTCTAGCCTCTTCAGTCACCAGATACATACATGATATACAGGCACACATGTAGGCAAGACACCATATGCTTAAAACTAAAACAGCAACAACAAAAAGCCCTGGCTGCCAGGGCTGGAAAGATCACTTTGTTGATACAGCACTTGGTGAACAAACACAAAGACCTAAGTTCGAACCCCAAAACACATATGAAAAAGCCAGGAGCAGTGGTGTCACATGCTTGTAAAATAGGCACTGGAGAGTAGAGGCATGAGGGTCACTGGTGTTTACTGCCTTGTCAATCTACCCTAATCCTGAACCCCCAGCCAATGAGAAGCCCTGTCTCAAACAAAACAACACAACAACAAAAGGTAGGGGCAGGGCAGATGACTTAGGCGTTAAGAGCACACACTGCTCTTAGAAAGTTTGGTTTCCCATTTCAGGCAGGTCACAGGCACCTGTCCCTCCAGCTCCTACTGGATTCGAGACCCCTGGCTTCTGTGGGTACCTGCACTCATGTGCATATACCTACATACAGACACGTGGTTTCTGAATAAAACAAAATCTTTTTCAAGTGGACAGCAACTGAGGATGCACAAACACACGTGTGCTGGCTCACTTTGTACTCACCTGTGGGCACATGCTTGCACACACACACACACACCACATACAATGAAAATCTTGTTAATATGCTTCCAAGAGCCACCGATGCTTACTGATCCTAACTCCCAGTCTTATGCTGCCTAATCCCTCGGAGCACCCTGTTTTATAAGGCACCCCTATACCTCCAAATCCCCCCAGGGATTCCCAGTGGTCTGTTCTAGGAGAGTCTCCCCCTAATTTTTTTTTCTTCCTGTGAAATCTTCTATAGAATATATAAAGCAGCTCACAGGTGAAGCTCACAGATGAGGTGAAGCCCCTTGCCCACTCTCAAAGCCCTTTGCCCTGCCCCATGGCACATGGCCTGTTTCAGAGAAGAAGCATAGAAAAGGTGGGAAAACCAAGGTAAGTACCAATGCCATTGTTGATAGCAAGGGATGACCATGAAATTGTCACCAAGCTACCTGGGAGAGTAGTGGGTTCCCACTTCTAAAACCACTGTCCGTAAGACGGTACACCAGAGTGACAGTGTACTTGCCGTGTCAGTGGGTAAAGCCTCTGATCTTCAGGGGTTTTGTCTGTAAAATAGATCACAAAAATGATGTATTTCAAGAGCTATAGCGTATAAAGCATGTATGTTTAAAGTGGTCCGTGGGATATAGCAAATGTGCTATATACATATTGTGTTGATCTCTCTCTCTCTCTCTCTCTCTCTCTCTCTCTCTCTCTCTCTCTCT